TTCCTTTAACTGCCATTTATTGTATCTACCAGTAATGCAGTTACATTTGATTACCACAACCACAGTTACACAGTATTGCCATCAAAACACGGTGTTTTTGATGATTCAATGGGGACTCCTTTATTTTTGCCATGTGCAGGAATTTATATTTGGCCAGAGTTACAAGGCGGGACAAATAAAAGTGACGTCTCAGTGATCATGAGGGATGTTTGCAGGTGATCCATTAGGAAGTGAAAAGCTTTATGCATGTTTCTCTCCAGAAGCAGCAAATGAAGTAATGTGGGAGCAGTAGGGGAAGGTGAATTGATATGTTCTAGTATAAGGGCTGTTTTTGGACTGTGTATAAGTCTGTGTATAACAGCCGGGCTATAGATGTGTAGAGGAATAACACAGTGCAGAAATTACCCCATGATCCCGACTAATCCAGGAATTAATAAATTACTCCTTTTGTTCCACGTGCGTTAAATACAGACATTTTTTCCCCTGCGTGTCATGTGATGCTGCAGCTATTCAAAGTCAGAGAAAAGAACCTGACTCAGCTACCTGAGGGCAATAAACAAACCTCTTTTCACAAAATCCCCATTAAATTCAGTGATGGCTACACAACATATGCCAAGACTCGACTCAACAATTCAACTCTGAGTCACATTATTTGCCGTATTTTGCCAGACTTCTCCATAAGTTCTGTAATAGATCTGATACGAGAGAAGCATACAGAGGGAAAAATCATAAATGTGATTTGTGCTGAATAAAGATGCACAAAAGCTTTTGTGCTTTCTGCGAGTTTCTTTATTTGCAGTTCACAAGACACTAAAATTTGAAACTGCTTTGCTCACTTTAAAACTTAACTCGTCTACAGCCCCGTGCTTAGGCCATCCCAAAGAACGTGTTTCCACTATCACTCCAACTAAACTCTTAGCAGCACCTATCACACCCACATCTGGCACAAAATAAGGAAATAAGTGCCTTTTGCCATTAAATAACATTCCAAAAATCAAATGTTTCTAACTTCATTGAATTCTCGCCTCTGAAATATTTGTGCTCTTATAAATACATATGCAATAAGGTCAGCTGCAAAAATCTGCGTCTATGCCTTTTAGTCTCAAACTTGGCACTGCATCCTCTTTATACCTGTAACAAACATGTAATTACAGGTGTTTAACAGCAGCTTTCAAAGCATTTGATTTTTTGGCCCTACTGGGGAGATATAGCAGCAAGATCGCCAGTACAAAAAAGAACAGGCATCAGGTTGGGTTAAGAATGTGTTACAAAGTAAGGTAGTTTAAATAGTCTTAAATGAGCTTTTATATGAGCCCGTTATATATTAAGCAAGTCATCTTGCTGTGTTTCAAGCAGCAGTGTGAGGTTTCTTCACTGACCTGTGGCAGCGTTCTTGTAGCCAGCAGCTCCATAAAAACACTTCAGCTGCTCTGATCACAATCAACAGCCTCCTTCATGTGAGGACTCCATTATCGTTGGGAGGTAGAAGAGTGTCCTTGTATGTTCAAGTTCTTTTATCATTTTAAGCTTTTTGGGAGGCGTTCTGAGGGTTTAATTTCACAACAGATGAATCATCAGCTCGTGATAAATCTTAAATGTTACTTGAGAAACCTGAACAGCCCATTGTTCATTCAGTTTGCTAGGTTTCAGTGTTTGTACAAATGTACTGTTTCTAAGATTGGGGAAACCTGCAGTCAGCTGAGACTGAAGAAGTCAGTTGAATGAGTGAGGAAACGTTTCTCCCACTGAAAATGTCCAGATGAACAGAATCAATGTTTTGGGATTAACTTACCTGGATGATTGAGCGTGCATCAAGAGAAACATTGGTTAGCACAGTTGCTTCACAGCATGAAGGTCCAGAGTTTGATTCCCCCACAGTGTGTGGGGTTTGCATGTTCCCTCTGGCTTCCTCCCACAGTCCAAAGACATTTAGTTAGTGGGGATTAGATTAAATCATTAATTTATATTGCTTATAGGTGTGAATGTGATGTAAGTGCGAATGGTTGTTGGGACAGGTCAGCATGATAGTTTCAAAAAAAGAGACAAAATGTATTTTATAAATGATGCTGAAGGATTTATTTCAATCCCTTTCCCCTCTTGCATTGACCTCATCTTTATTTCAAAAAAAAAAACCCCGAAGAGGAACAACCTCCTCTGCCTCCATGGACCAGCTGCCACTGATAAAATCAATGCAAATCAATGTAATTATGTGTTATTTTTTCACATCGTCTCTTCCAGACAGAGCTACTGAGAACGATTCAGTCTCACCCTCCTGTGATTAAGACCCTGATGCCCCTAATTGCTCTGATAATCATCTGTCCTCTGTTTGTCCTCGTTGAGATCTCATCCTGTAAATCGTTCTAGCGCCCAAAACGCCCAAATGATTGCACGCTCGAAAGGGTGTCACCTGACTGACAAACGAGGGCCACAAGGTTATTAAAGCTATGAAACCTAATATAGAGTTTTTGTCAGATTTAACTGCGCGAGGTGTCCGTCGTGCTGAATAATTACTCGGTCTTTCAAAATAATTTCAAAACCCAGAAAAGGTTTATTCTAAAACGAGTCAGGCATCTTCCAAAGAAGACTAATTGAAAGCCTAAAAAATTCTTTCAAAGTGACACTTACTCTTTGCAAATAACACGAGATAAAAAGCAATTAAAGTAGAAAAAATAAAATCCTGTCATCTTGTCAGAATAAAGTAAAGTTTAATAATTTAGCTGCAAGCAGCGATGGTGCCGGGCAGAGGTCGCGTTCGACTTTCTCGTCTGTCACGGTGACAGACAAGGTCGTAAAAATCCTGTCGT